TCGACGGCAAACGAACACACCTCCGTTGGACAAGTTGATCTCCGCAAACTTGAAGCAGTCGCGCCCAAAAGCAGCCCCACGGTGACCACCATCGCAAGTGTCGACATGCTCCCGACCTGTCCTATTCTAAAGTCGCTCCGACAGTCACTCTGAAGTCACTCTTTCTGTCGGTCGGAAAAGAAAGAAGAGTCGTCTGGATGTCCCGTCGTAAACAACGGAACGCTCTTATATATACCGGTTCCGCCCTCCTCCCCTTCTCCACTTCCTCCTCCTCATTAACATCATCATCATCTAGTCTTCGATAACTCGCTCGGCGGTGTCACGAATGTTAAGTTCTCGAAGGTGCAGCCGGCGTGTGCGCAATCCTTGCGTGCGTGACAGATCTCTCCTCCGCTCGTTGAGGCAGGATGAGAAATCTCTTTCTCGGGTTGAGATCATTAAAGAGTAACACCGATCCAAAGTCGGACCACAAAAAATGCCTGGTATCGCTTCAGTGAAAAAAAAAAAAAAAAAAAATAAGAAGCGCGGCTAAAGTTAAAATAGTACGTCAAAGGGAAGCGCGCCGCTGTCTCTATACTACAACCGTCGTCCAGAATGCAATTACCAGCTTCTCAGCGGACCGCCGGCCGGTTAGCCGTCGCTGAAACAACGCTGGGAAACGACGTCAGGCTCTTACTCTATTTTATTTCAAATATAGTTGTAATGAGATACGACTTTCCGCATTCTTCGTCGCGATGGAAATCACACGTCAAGAGCATGAAAAAAAAAAGAAAAAAAAAAGAACAACTTTGTCGTTACATGCTTAGACGGCGCGAGTTTATTCTTCCAGACTACGGCGATATTGTTTTAGGTTTCAAGCCCCCCACCCCTTTTTCCTTTTTTTTTTTTTTTATTTTACCTCGAAAGTAAATTGCATAGGCTAAAGTAAATGTAAATTGCATCTCCGCCCTAATGTATCGCTAGCGGTCCGAAGGAATCGTAGTTTATTTTTGAATTAAATAAAAATAGGCAGTGCGTTACGATAGCTAGCCCCTAATTGGACACTAGGCCAAGCCATATACTGACGCAGCAGTCGCGTCCATGTTATGTCTGTTCTAAATCTCACTGGGATCATCCACAGAATCCACCATTTTAAAATAAAAGGCGTCACGCGACATAAGACGAAACACCGTAGCTCAATGGTGCCAGCGGGATCTACCTTCCTTATGGTCGATAAAGTGTTCTCACCACGGGCCCGCACTCGCTTGGGCACCTGCTCCCGTATTTTCGCGTCGGAACTATCTGAACCGGCGATTTCCGAAAATGGTCCATTGTGGTGCAGGGACTCTGGTTATTCTAGGTAGGGTGACCCCCTTCCCGCTAGCGACATGCGGGAAACGCTGAAAGGGGAAAGTGGGGGAGAGAGGGGAGAGTAAGAGAAAAGCGGTATTGTTATGATTGTGGGAAAAAAAAAACATTTAAAGGAAGTTTATTACGGCGCACACCACGAAATGTGGCTCTGCTAACATATTTAGCATATACACCTGCAAATCGTGTTTCGGCAATTAATCTCCCCCAGTACTATACAAACACACACACACACACACAGACACACATACACACACACATATATACTATATATATATATATATATACAGGGTGTTTCAGAGAACGCAGGCCCCAAATCACTCCTGCAAAAACTACTTATCACAACGAAAAAAGACTTGTGACGTTTTGGTCCTGGGCCAGGGGCCCATTTAAGGAAATTATTAAAGTCCCGGATAATTAACTTGTTAATTATTTTTGCGTAATTAACTTTTTAAATATTGTGTTTCAGGGCATGGTTTCAATTAGAAAATTGCTCAGCATCGTCGAAAACCACTAAACCAACAAATTTCAGAACGATAGAAGGCACGCGAAGCATTTTACGGCTTTCTGAAAAACCGCACAGATCCGACGGGTTTTTAATTTCGGTTTGCTATCGGAGCGCATCTCAGCCTCGGAGGCACCGCGCCCCGTGGAGAGATAGTGCAACCAGACTCTGCTGCGTCGCGCGATGACAGCGCAGCAGAGGTTGGTTGCACTATCTCTCCACGGGGCGCGGTGCCGTCGGAGCCCAGATGCGCTCCGATAGCAAACCGAAATTAAAAACCCGTCGAATTTGTGCGGTTTTTCAGAAAGCCGTAAAATGCTTCGCGTGCCTTCTATCGTTCTGAAATTTGTTGGTTTAGTGGTTTTCGACGATGCTGAGCAATTTTCTAATTGAAACCATGCCCTGAAACACAATATTTAAAAAGTTAATTACGCAAAAATAATTAACAAGTTAATTATCCGGGACTTTAATAATTTTCTTAAATGGGCCCCTGGCCCAGGACCAAAACGTCACAAGTCTTTTTTCGTTGTGATAAGTAGTTTTTGCAGGAGTGATTTGGCCTGCGTTCTCTGAAACACCCTGTATATATATATATATATATATATATATATATATATATATATATATATATATATATATATATATATATATATATATATATATATAGTTTTTTTGTCAAGCTTTACAGAAATGTTTAAAAAAGAACAAAGCCGTGAAAGTTCCATTTATGCGGTTTGTGGGGGTGAGTTTTAAAATAACGATCACCATGGCAACCGACAGCGATGAGCCAATCACCTTGAGAGGTTTTGTCGTCTGTATGTTGGTATTTGTTTGTGCCCGGCTAGCAGGTGGGAAGGCAATGGCGCTATACTTACCCAGATCGGGTGACTTCATTCCATACGACTGAGCAAAAATCCAGTTTGGACGAAACAAGCGCGCGAAATAGATTAATCATGCTTACGTGAGTACGAAAATTCCGCGTCATTTGGGAAATAACGCCCTAGCACCTGATAAGAGTCATTCACAATCTTTGAAACGTGCTTAGCAAACGAGAGGCGAGAATAAAACAGCATTTCCAGGTCACAAATAGTATACGACCTCGTGATGGCTGGACCTAACATGGGATACGGGTATTCAATGCAGCCTGTCTGACGATTATACATAAAAAAAAACCTTGGTTTTATTTGGGTTAAGTACTAAGTAAATTATTTTTCATGTACCAATTTAGAACTGCTGTAACATCGTTTTGCATCATCTGGCAGTCAGTAGTTGCATGAACTTCCCGATAACGTTTTACATCATCTGCAAACTGCATGCAGCACCTATGATGCTGCTCACTATCTGCCAGATCATAGCCAAAAATGGTGAATAACAGCGGCCCAAGATTGGACCGGCGCTTCAGTATTCAAAACATACGACGTAGAAAAACTCCCTTCATAAAGCACTCTGGTGTTCCACCAAGATAGCTTGGCAATCAACTGCAAAACGAACTAGTCATGCCGAATGCTGACAATTTGGCAAGTAACAACTTATGACCTACAAGATCAAAAGCTTTAGTGCAATCGAAATAAAGGGAATGTGACCTTAGGTAAAGTGTGTTCCAAGAATGATACAAGGTAAGTTTCCAAATGATACCGCATTTAGTGTAATTGAGGTTAATTTGCTGAAGAAGCTCGATAAACACGTCAAATGTTGTTGCTTTTTTTTTTTCTTTTTGGCAGCAACAGTCTGAACTGTAGTCTTAGAATTGCCACAGGGACATCAAGCTTAATTTGTTAACAGAACTTGAGAGAACATGCGCTCGGAATCCGCGTTCTATATGGGCAGTGATAAGATCTTCAGAGCACCTTCTGCGAGGTCGAGGAAAAGGACATACGCCAGGAAGCCACTTGTACGACCGCTCCGAGCCAATACTTTCGGCAGGTCGTATGGTCCAAGGTGCTTGAAACAGACTGCAGGTGTCGGATTTCTGATTCAAGCTCATAAAAAGGACATAAAAAAAGTGAGGTGGAAGTCTCAATATGTCCAATTGCTCTTGACGCTATCTGTGGTTTCTGGATTTATGGCATTGATCCCTCGAAGTGCGGACGAAGCATCTGAAGTTGCTTCTGAACTGCTATTTGTTTCAAGAAATAAAAGCAGCGTTCTCGGACATTTCTTTGAATTTCGAAGAGAAGTCTAGATAGCCTTTCACCAATGGCGTCCCACGGGTCGGCTGTTTCTAACTCACGAAGACGGGTCTCATGTCGACAAGGTGTAGGGATAGCAAATTTGCTGACGTGTTGTGTCGCAGCACTGACGGATTCAGAATTCTCTTCGAGATTTCCAGATACAGGTTTTCAAGCTCCCGAAAGACTGCCAAGGGGTCTGCGACACTGCTTTGAAAAAACTTGTTGATGCGCTTTTGTTCATTTTAGCTTTAGGATTGGCCGCTCGTTCAGTATTGTGATGACCAGAAAGTGCCAGCTCTTGCTTAGTATTCCTTTAAAGCCCGTCGCAATGTCAGAAGTGATGCGTCATCTTTCTGCCTGTTTGTAAACAAACATTTATTTGAGTGCAAATGCGCCAGAATTTAAGTTAATAAGTAGCCAGAAAGGGCCAGACCGACGAACTACATTTTTTGACGCCAGACAAATTTTAAAGCAGTGACGTCACTGGGGGTAAGGAGGAGGGGGAGGGGGAGATTGGGCACGAGTGTTGCGCCAATGCTCGGCCGGGGCTCGTGCTCAATCGGCACGTCGAAGATCGGGTTCGGGCCCAATAGCCGAGTTAGCGCCATCTGACTGCGATGAAGTTTCATGAAGGGAGAGGAGGCGATGCGGAGGCTTTGATTATTCTAGGCGGTGTTGGTGCAGCTAAGCAGTAAAAGGGGGGTAGTTCGCGGCGGGCAATAGACCGATCTCACCAGTCAGTTTGACTACACCACCGCAATGACAATGCATCGAGGGAACTTTGGTCTTTCTGCACGTGCGAGAACCTCGCTGGAGCCTTGCGCGTGTAGAGCACGAGGCGGCACGAGCCCTCTCGTGCACTGCCGTTTCCCTCCAGTGAACTAAAGTTATGGCGGCGTCAGGCCTGCTCCGACGCAGCGACCCTACCTTTGTCAGTACTGTAGACGTTTGAGAAAGTGAATGGCACCCGAACCATATAAGTTCACAAACAATTTTTTTTATTCAACCGTGTACACGAAAATGGGTAGATTCTTCGAAACCTTCCAACATTTACGAGTACGTATATGCACGCGTTGTGGGGAGGAGGCTCAGAAGCGTCTGATGCAGCGGCAGTTGCGCGTATCGACCGCGCCACCCCGGCAGTGGAGAGCGCAGCCTCCGAATCTCCGTCGCCCTCCGAACGTCGCCCGTTCGGTCCTTCCGGGCCGCCCTGAAAAAAATACCAAAGGAACTTGCAACATTTTCACGACTCCGACTCGAGAAGACTCAAAAGGGGAAGCGTATATACTGTGCGTCAGAGATGCCGCGAACCTCGAGGGGTTCAAGCTGACCACGTTCGAATTTTTCCCGAACTTTGGTCGCAGACAACTTTAGAAACGTCGGGCGTTGCTAGTCTCGTGCATGTCATTATCCTTCCGGAGCCAATGAGATTGCAGCATTAGCCGATAAGAACGCCGAGGAGCCAATCGCGAAGCAACAAATGTGAATTGTGTAATAACCTGCGCCCTCTTCGTTTCTGGAGCTGTCACTATAACGAGTTTATTAGAAGCTCAAATGTTTGCCTTCGTGTTGCTTAAACACGGGGCTTGTTCTCTAAAAGTTCGAGACAGGATGTTTTCTATTTATTTTTTCCTTTCCCCAGTATTTTAAATGTTTCGTAAACGTCGGGCAACTCTGTTCAACGAGTAGAACATTGTCGAACTTCGTCGAATCCTGACGAAAGTTCGAACGTCGAACCCCAGATTTGAAAAAAATCTTCGCGACATCTCTATTATGGGCAATTAAAAGATGAAGCTGATATTCGACCCACTAGGGAAAGAAGAAAGTGGATAGACAGCGTCTTGAAACGCTGGCCGTCCTTTTTACTTTGTCTTCGAGTTTCCTCTCCAGATTCAAAGTTTAAAAATCGCGACTGAAAAAAGAAAAAAAAGAAAAAGAAACGCCTGAAAAACATGGTCAGCTTCGGCCCCTTGTATTTTTTTTTTTTTTTGTATGTGTAATTTTTTTTTTTTCATATCAGGTATTTTACTACCATTTGCGATGGTATGCGTTTCACAACTTACTGAAAAGAAAAGGACTCCCTATAAAGAGAAAGATAGAAAAAGCTGAAGGATGTGGAGAATTAAAAATATAAATTAAAAAAATCGTACGGAAGTCAATATTAACAATTTTGATCCCGTGTTTTTTTTTTTGTTTTTGTTTTTGACCGCATGGTGCTGTGAACCGAAGGCTGGGGAGTGAACTTGTCTCCCATAGCTTTCTGTTCTAGACGCTAGATGCCGTCGATTTCTCTTGTGTCGTCAGTGCCATGTTGCATATAATCTTGTGTTTTTGGACACATCCATACTTTTTTGTCCGCTAGGTTTTTTTGTATGTCTTGTTTTCTCGAAAATGCGTTGTTCCACACTGCCTCGGTTGCATTTCGTTAAATCGTTTAACCATGCCTCGACGTCTGCCAAAACCGTACGTTCCATGTGAATCAGTGTTGCGGAGTTGCCACTCCGGAGTTGGAATGGGAATGAAATGGCGGCAACGTTGAGGAGAATGGAATGGGAATGGAATTAGGTGCCTTTTGCCCGGAATGGAATGGGAATGGAATGGGTCCCGGTTCTTTATTTTATTTTATAATTTTTTTTTTGGAGGAAGGGGGGGGGGGGGGGGGGGGTTACATTTAGCTAAACCGAGCAAGTCAGCCGAGTCAGTTGCTCAGAAATAAAATGAGCAGCGTGAAACTGCTAGCCCATGTGGAGCCCTAACATACTGTAGGCAAAGAAATTCAATACTAAAAACAAGCGTCAAAGCAAAGAACAGAGAAGGGAGGGGGGAGGGGGGGGGGGGGGGGCGGGTGGCGCCTTTCGCGAACGCGCAGACGACAGGCTTCACATGTGTTTTACGAGGGCGAAACAAGAAAGCAAGCACCAAGCAAAAGAAACAAAGGGAGCAGCAAAGGATGAAACCGCCATGCACGGCTCCTCATCATTCTTTTTAATTGTCTTGCGTTTTTTTTTTTTTTTTTTTTTTTTTTTTGCTACGGCATGGAGCGTACATGCGCGTGCACAGACTGAGATCTGGGAGCGGGAGCCGACCCGTAACTCGCAGAGCTCTGATAACTCGTTGACTCGCACGCCACCGAAAGATGATCAGTTATTGTTTTCTTATAGTTCGAGGAGCGTTGTTTAGCAGCTGGCCAACCCTACTGCCTTCCACGTTCATTCGCGCGCATTCCTTTGCAGTGCGAAATGTGGGTTTGCTTCGGCATTGTAACAAAGCGAGATTTACTTCTCTCTTCTCCTCTTGCGCTTTGCTCCGACGCCTTTTTTTTTTTTTTTTTTTTCTATACTGCATTTTTACGTGGAAGTCTGTCTTTTACTTGGTCTTTGTTCCGATGCTTGTTTTCTGTGTTAAATGTTTTACATTCAAATGGGTTAGGGCTACAAGCAAGCTAGATGATGCCCGCTCATTTCCTTTGACTTTAGTCTCTGCATACCTTGTTTCACCTTGCAATGGACCTCTTCGGACGCTACGAGTCACCCCAGGCAATCCAGCACCGTGAACTTAGTAATATCAGTGCTTTTTTGAGGCATTTAGTTGTTTTTGTTTTTTTTTCTGCAATTGTCTATCCGTCGATAATGTCAGCTTTATGCTGCTTATGCCGGCAAACGGAATGTAGCTGTCAAGTGCCAATGTTTACGCTTAGGAATTAGAGGAATGGAATTGAACGATTCAGCCATTCCAGGAGTGGGAATGGGTCCAGTGTCCCCATTCCTAGGAGTTGAAAGGAATTGAATTATCGCAAACTCTAATTCCCCGGAATGGAATTGGAATGGAATGGGGGTGCCCATTCCGCAACACTGATGTGAATAACCCCTACATAACGCGAATTCTTTATGTCTTATAAAGGTTTCCTAACAGACGAGGTATTATATAGTAGCACCAACAACAGTACTATTGGATCCGAATTCGAACACAACTACTCACAGCGAAATCGAAGATGATGGAGAGAAACTATACTGACCCAAGCCGTCGTCGCCGCAGCAGTAGCACTCCTTGCCGTCGCCCCGGGAGACGAGCTCGCAAGAGGCGCCCTTGACATCGACGGCAAACGAACACACCTCCGCTGGACAAGTCGATCTCCGCAAACTTGAAGCAGTCGCGCCCAAAAGCAGCCCCGCGGTGACCAGCATTGCAAGTGTCGACATGTTCCCGACCTGTCCTATTCTAAAGTCGCTCCGACAGTCACTCTGAAGTCACTCTTTTTGTCGGTCGGAAAAGGAAGAAGGGTCGTCTGGATGTCCCGTCGTAAACAACGGAACGCTCATATATATATACATACCGGTTCCGCCCTTCTCCCCTTCTCCTCCTTTCCTGTCGTCCTCTAGTCTTCGATAACTCGCTCGGGGGTGTCACGAATGTTTCGTTCTCGAAGGTAACGAAGCCGGCGTGTGCGCAATCCTCGCGTGCGTGGCAGATCTCTCCTCCGCTCGTTGAGACAGGATGAGAAATCTCTTTCTCGGGTTGAGATTGTTAAAGAGCAGCACCGCTCAAAAGTCGGACCACAACGAATGCCTGGTATCGCTTCAGTGAAAAAGAAAAAGAAGAAAAAAAAAATCAGCCAAAGGTAAAATAGAACTAATTAAAACTTTGGTTTGGGCTAGTTCGTCCATGGTAGGTATAAGGTTTAAAAGCGCAAACAGACAGGGACAATAGAAAATAACACAAAC